TGGATATCGGCTCGTATTGGTGCAAGAGATGATGGGAATAAGAGAAAAAAGAACAACTTTGGAATTATCGCAAAAATTGGAAATTTTAAACAGACTAGATTCCGATGAAAGTTCATTGTGACTAATGACTGAGTTCAACATAGGGAAAATCAACATTGTATGATATAAAGTCTTTCAAAGAAACTATTCTCCAGCGCTCACACTGTTACAATGAAAAAGAAATAAATAAAAAAAACATGATTGTGATGAATCCTGGACTGAAATTGAAAAAGCTATTGAGAAGGTTGTCAGTTTTATGGAAACAAAGCCAGCATTACGCTATGACGATTGCAATAAAGTATACAAAGTTGAAAAGTGTCTTTCGTTTAAAAATTTCAAGAACAAAAGCAAAACGAAATGCGGAAAAAATTGAGAATGACATTAGAAGAGAAAGAATCATCATGCAACAGCAATTAAAAAAATCCTCGTGACATAATTTGTTTTGCAGACGTACTTAATTTAATGAATTTTCATTAACATTATTTCTTTTTCCCATAAAATCAATTCCGTTATATGTCACTCACCGTTAGCTTATTTTGTTTACTATAAAACATTGAAAATAAATGTTAAACTTAATTTCAGTTCTTTTATTTTAATCTAAATATAACCCCTCATATTCGGATTTTGTAACCGATTTCTCATATCCGGAAGGCCTTCTTAGTCCAGTTGTCAGGGATTCTACTGTATTATCATTACCATAAGGTTTTTGTCAGTAAAAATCTTTCAAATAGAACTGTAACCTTTTTCCAAAACATTGTCTTAAAAATAAGTGTGCGTATTATATACCAATGGCTCTTATATTCCGAAAAATACTGTATATCCACGCGAACTCTTGTTTTCATGTGCAAACACATATTGTATACAAAGTTAAGATCTGTTTTGGGACGAAAACAATCAAGTAAGATTGTGTTGCAGCAGTTTTTCAAGGAGGAGTTCACAAGCTTTGTAAATCAGCATTCGCAATTTAGGTTTTCACTCCGGCATGATCCACGGCCACTTGCTTTTGTATAAAATAATAAATTAATCCAGCTCCCACCACTCAACAGCGCATATACATAAATATCTGCCTAACCTCTGCAATCAGCAATGACTGTGAATTAGTTTGGGCGTGTTCAAGAGCCTCTTTTTCGAAATTCTTTGTGCGTCAGATAGTGGTTTCGATTTTTGTTGGTGTCTCAAGAGTTTGTCTTGGAGTGGAGATGAAAGATCAGGCCTGGATGACGAGGCGGAGGAGTAAAATGAATCGACCGGTATCACACCGATTCCGTGCTGAAGGACTTTGCCCCAACAGCTGTACAATTCGTTGGTATTCAATCACTCGGAATGATCCCGGAACGAACCCAGCTGCTGTTGTTATTCACGTTTGAATGAGTTCTCGTTTTCGCGAGATTTAGAGAGGAATAAGTATGCAATTGAGTTAATCATAAACACGCGATAAACGCAGTCAACAACAACGGAAGCAAGAAGAAACACAAAATTGAAATAAAATACAAATGAAAAGCAATCATAATTTTGCCAAGCTGCATGTCGTTCTTTTCCATAAGGTTTATTTCTTCTATTTTGCAGATAAACATTTGAAAGTAATTCACGAAGCTAAGACGAGATGAATGTGAGATAATCGTTAACATCCGCCTGCAAGCAAGACAAACAAGCTTACAATCGGAACCGAGTGAAAATTAATAGGAAAACGAATGGAGAAACCAAATAAAAATGCTGGATTTGATACTTGGTGCGTGAGGAGTGAGTCAAAGCGAGCTTAATATATTTTCTTATATATATATATATTTTTTTTTTAAATTCATCGATCTTTACAATACGAAATTCGGAGACATTTAAGTGAAATCTGAAATCCAAGAAAAAGAGTGAGTAAATGGATTGAAGAGAAAATAACTTATTGGTATTACAGATATAATTACATGAGAGACACTGAATGTTTCTTATTTGTCGTATCTTTTCAGAAAGTGGGCAGATCTCCACAACTTCCTATTTTTTGCTGCTCTATGAAATAATGGAATATGCATACACCTGTGTTCCCCCTTACTGGAATATGGTTGACTGGTGTCCGTCATAAATACCGACGGACGTGTACGCGAGTCAGAGAGCCTTAGTCTGAGAACTAAGTCTATAACGACGCCCATTGGACTACGCCATTGATCTACACTTCTTACCTGAGACTACGACGCGTACCAGTCGATTATTGCAACCGTATTGTACTTGGTTATAGTAGCCAAAATCACTTAGCTACTTCGTTCAAATATATCCCTTTCCGGGACATATCACTCTGTATATATTTTCACTTTTTATGATCCCACTGTCACTGTGCTGCCATCCACACACGCATACTCGTGGAGCAGATTAATCGCTGCTTTCCTCTGCCTTTCTTGCCTTCAATATATCCTGTGAGTGTTACATTCTCGAAGCCCATTTTCCTTATCATGTCTCCTAGAAATTTCAGTAGACTCTTTCTGACTGTATGCATGCTTCATTGGTGTCTCTCTTTTCACTAAAACCGTTTCGTTATTCGTATGTTCAATTCGTGGTATTCTCAGCATGCGTCAGTAAAATCTTATCGACTGTGCTTTCCCTCCCGAGGCCAATAATCTGATGACATAGGTGCTCCTAGTTGGGATAAGAATGATCTTGAACAGAAAATCAGCATCCTCTATTGTGTTCCAAGAAATGGGACTCAAGATAAACCTTTCCAAAATAGAAACTATGATCTGGAATTGGAATGAGATCAGTGATAGCATCTACTCTGATTTCATCATACAAATTCAGGATGTGGAATTGGTAAATATTAAACACTTCATTTACCTCGGCGTATGGATGAGCTATAACAAATTTAGTATAAGAAAAATAGAAATTGAATATTAAATATTCTGCGCCAACAACCTGAGTCATGTTCTTAAATAGCCTCGTCAGATCGAAACTTCCATATGGATGTCATACACAGCGCCAAACCCGTTCAGAAATATCTAAAATCTCTGCTTCCTTAGATCTGTGGTGAAAAAAGGTTTGAGAGAGTAAAGCATGAGGATTCTGGCAAAGACCATGTTACTTTGAAAAATGTGGTCTGGTGCCACAGAATCCCAAACAAAGAACTGTACCAAATAAGAGAAGCCACATTACTTGTGGATTGCCAACAGCAGCAACTACTAAAATGATCGAGGAATTTGAATGTCTTCGAGAGAATATTTATTTGCACACACACACACACACACACATATCTATATATCTATATCTATATATCTATATATATATATATATATATATATATATAT